TTTGTTTATTATTATTATTAATATTATTATTATATATTATTATTATTATTAATATAATTGATATTATAAAAATATATATTAAAATATATATTATTAATATTATCATTAATATAATTAAAATTATCAAATTATTATTATTATTATAAGAATACCAAAATAATCATTTATTTTATCTATACAACTTTAAACCAAATCCATCTTTTTCAGAAATTGACAAATGTAAATTCAATTCATATATCCTCTAGAAACGAAGAAAGCTTTACCTCCTCTCTACTTAATAGCAAAGAAACAAACCATTCGGATTTAATCTAGAGAAAAGGAATTAAATGATCTATATTCATCCAAAAGTAGTAAAATAGTAAGTCCAAGAATTCAAAGAACAAGTAATAAAAAGTCATCAATTTAATCGCCAGAAAAGGATAAAATATTTAGAACATCATCTACACCATTTATTTATAAGACTTTATAAAAAGATAATTTGACTAGCAGATCCAGTTCTTCCAATAAGCGATCAAAATCAAAAAATTAAAAACCTCAGAAATTAACAATCTCGAATCCTAAATAGAATTAAGGTAAAGAGAGAAGATATACTTAAAATCAAAATAAAGTTTCTACTATTTAGTAATCTTCAATTACTATGATAGATCCATAAGATAAAAAACTTTAAGGAAGGAAAAAGAAAAGATTAACTTAAACAATCAAATAATAGGAATAATAAAAATAATAATAATAATAATAATAATAATAATAATAAAAATAATAATTTAATATCACTATTAAATCAAATTTTCAACTTAATAATATTTCTAAATAACATAATTTAACATCTACAAATCAATAATAAAATCAAGTAAAAGATAAATTATAGCAAAGACATACATCTTATAGATGTTTCTTAAACAAAATAAATTTTTCAAATAATTAATCAATTCAATCTCCAAACAAAATGGAAATTCCAGCATATTTTTTTTATGTAGGTAAAGGTAATAATGCTAGTTTGATAAAGAATTTATTTCGTTAGCGATGGTGGTGGTAAGAAGTGGAAACTATGGATTTAGCCAAAGTGAATATGGTATGGACTTAATTGAAATAAAATATTTGTATTGAAAGCTTAACAGCATTTAATATTGTAAGTACAGATTAAAATTATAATAATGAATCATTTATTTAAAGTATTGAAGATACAGTCGCTGATTCAAGTGATTCAGAATTGGAAACAAATATTAAACATAGATCTATTCCACTTTTAAATATAAATTAATAAGTCAAATAATCTTTATTATAAATTAGTAATTTAAATTAGTTAAAGAGAATATTCAATTTAATTGATCTCTAAAAAATATTAGTTTATATGAAGGATAACAATTAATGGGACTCTTAATTAGTGTTTAGTGATTGTTCTGAAAAACTGCTTTTAAATATAAAAGGAGTACAATATTAAATTTATAATAGTTTCACACCTAAACTAGAATAGAAAGTAGAAATAATAAAATGCACAATCATATGTAAGACAATTGGCATTTGGGAAACAAAAAAGCTCTTTTTTACAATATGAGGAACTATTTTAAAATAATAAAGGAAGAGTATACAAAATATATTCCAATAACTTTTCACATTTAGTAAGGGATGACAGATCCTGAATATGTGAGATTCGTAGATTATTATAATAAAAGATAAGAGGAGATGAAAGAATAAGAAAGAAAGTTATAAATGGATTATAAGAGAGATAAAAAGATAAGACCAATAAGTTTATGGATTGTAAAACCTGGGGAATGTACAAATAGAGGAAATGGGATAACAGTTTGTTAGGATTTATTGGATATCAATAAAATAATAATGGAAGAGTAACCAGATGGGAGATAGAGAACCTTTATAGTTTAGCAGTACATTGATAATCCATTCTTATATAATAAGAGAAAATTTGATATTAGATGTTATATGCTTCTGACATCATAGAATGGAATTTTAAAGGGATATTGGTACTAAGAAGGATATATAAGAACTTCTTCAAAAGAATTTACAACAAAATGTTTAAACAAATATATTCATTTAACAAATGATGCTGTTTAATCTAAAGATGAAGACTATGGGAAATTTGAATTTGGAAATAAGATTTCCTTTTTAGAATATCAAAGATATTTGGATACATTTCATAAAGAATAAAAATTGAACTTTTTTATTGATATATATCCTAAAATGAAGTAAATAGCTTTAGATTTAATGAAGGCATCTTATGGAAAGATTGATTAATAAAGAAGATCTAATAGTTTTGAAGTAAGACAAAAAATAATATTTTTAATTAGCTTTTTGGATTAGATTTTATGATAGATGATAATTTTAAGCTCTGGCTTATTGAAGCAAATACAAATCCATGTTTAGAATTATCATGTCCACTTTTAAGTAAGATTATTCCAACTCTAGTTGAGAATTTGTTTAGGTAATTGAAAATATGACAATAATGATAGAATTGCTATAGATCCAATATTTCCTCCTCCATTCTTTGAAGAATGGCCTCTGAATAAAAAATTATTCATTCCTGATAATGTTTTGGAAAATAATCGATTTGAATTAGTATTTGATGAATAAATCGATAAAAAGACAATGATCAATCTGTATAGAGATAATAAAATTGATTAAGATTGTTTTAAAATAGAGGAGGAAGAAGAGGAAGAAGAAGTGAAAGATTGATTATAGGTTCTTAATATTCTTGAAATAATATCTATATTTATCAATTTATATAATAAAATCTTCATTTGAATCATTTTTTTTTTTTCTTTTATTTAAATTATTACTATAATTAATTTAAAGCAAATGTTTCTGTCTCAACTACTTCAGAATGAACACTTGGATCAGAATCAAAATCTCCACCTTTAGATACATGAGATTAAGCAGTTAATGGAAATTCATTATTATCGAACCATTAAATGTTGATTTCATTCTTTATGTTAATGAAGAATAAATCATATTCATCAAATTCTATACTGCAATCTCCATATTCATCTTAGCATCCCCTTTCTAACTATTCTTATGTTATACAATTAGAACCATAACAATACATATTCCTAAGGCTACCTTTTTATGTTTTTAACCTACCTTTGTCATCTAATTAATATAATCCAAAACTATATTAAAATTCTATCTAATTTCCATCAGTATCCTTAATTTCTATTTAAGTACATTTACATTCCTTTCCATCTATAAATTGATTTGAATTCGGATCTTCTTATGATAATGAAACTCTAACTTCCTGAGTTGCAAGCATTTTAAGGTATAATAATTTTGATTTACCCCTCAATCCTGTTAAATAATTTGCCTCTCCTTTTTTATTTACCTATGACTCTGGTATTGTTATATAATCATTCTAATAATTACTAAAGTATGGTCTTGGTAATTTACGAAAATGAATTTTTAACTCTCCCTTCTTATATTCAGGCAATGCAACATCCTTTTATTATTATTTCTTACTGTGTGATGCCAAATGTATTTTTATGGTATAAGTGATCCAAAACATGAACATTTCAATGATTTACAAAGTGGACAAGTATATACTTTTTAAGTATAAGCATTTATTTGTTCATTATTAATATACATAACAGGACCATTAAGTAACAATTCTGCACATTCAAATGCCTTTTATCCACTTCCAACTATGTATCGAGGATTTTGTTTAAGAGTTTCGATCAATCCTTATTCCTAACAAAATATGTCTGCTGGGGTTTGCTCTCTACCTGTACAAAGTAACACATGCTTAAAAAATCATTTATTTAATGTACTCTTGCTTTAATTGATCGGTACTTATCTTTGATTTGAGTATCAGCTCTACAAATTATTTCAATAATCATACGATAAGCTCTGCGTTCTAATTTAAAACCATCCATCAGCCAACAGCCGAATTGCTATTGCTTCTCTTTGGGGATGAAATATTTGTAATTTTTTTAATGTGTATATATGTTTCAATAACACACTTCCTAACAACCTTAGAAAGAATCCTGCTAATGATTTTGGAGGACTTTTCTCTCCATATTAAACAAGTGTCTTATATGCCTGTGTATCTGTTAGATCTTTACAAATTGATATCATTTAATTGGTTTTATGAAAGTACATCAATTTCAACAATTCTGTTGCTGGATATGTTGTATAATTCATTTTATTCTCTAAATTTCCAGAACCAAAACATTTCCCTTTCTCCACTATCCCTATTCCCAATCCATTCAAATATTCAGGCAGTCTTCATTTAAATAATAAACTACCTTGATGTCCTGAATAAATTGTATAAAAACTTGACTGATGCAGGTCCTCCACCAATTATCAATAAGTTATACTTTTCTTCTATTTCCATTTTTATTTTAATTAATATAACACATAATGTCCACTTATTCAAATTTCATTAACTAGTAATAAGATCTCAATCAAATTATGACTAAAAAAATACTCAATATTATTCAATAACATATTAGAAGTAGCTTATTTCTTAAAAATTAAACATATATAATCAATATTATGTTTAAATTGAAGTAGTTGGACATATTTGAGGCTTAACTTAAGTTTATACTCTTTTTTTTTCTTAGTCCTGAATTATCTTCATTGCTTTCATTTAGAGATTTATAAGATTCTTTAAGTTTTCTTTTTTTCAATTTAGCTAACAATTTTATTTATAAATTATTTATAACTATTCATTATAACAATAAGTTACTTTAATTTATTAATTAATGATCTTTCTTAATCTTTTAGTAAGATTTCTTTAGAACATTCAACTTTAGTACTTATTTCTTATAATGAATTATCTTATTTGCTTATTTAAAATCAAAATTATAAATTGTCGCCAGATTCAATTCCTTATTTATTGGTGATGTTTATTAAGCCTTCAATAATAGAAAGTTGTTCTGAAATTTAGATATCAGATTATTTAAAATTATCAATGAAATCATCTCTATTTAATTAATTTGTATCAAAATTTGATTATTTAGTATTTCTATCACTTTTGACAAGTTTTTTAATGATTGTTCTAGATTAAGAAATCAAAAGAAGTATTACTTAGAGTATAAATAACTTTATTAAATAATTTAATATATATATAATACAAAGAGAGTTAAAAATAATTAGTATTAGATAAAATTATATATTATGTTAATTATGTATTTGATAGGAATTAAATGATTTATTCTTTATCATTAATTTTGGATGTATATGGATGTTCAAATTTCAAGTTTATCATAAATATAATGGTAGCTAAAATAAGAGGACAAAATTAAAATTGATGAGTATATTGATATATAATTGTACACTAAATAAACTTTAATGACTTTTGAGTTAAATTTTGTAAATCGTCTTATAAAATAACTTTATTAAATAAGACTGGAAATTTAAAAAGTTGAGTATGATATTTTATACTGAATGAAGGAGAATGTTTTTACATGAATATTATGAGATTTTGTTCATCTATAATGACATTAAATAAACCTATTACTCTTGAAACTTATAATTAAGTTATAGTAAATATGAGTCTATGAGTAATGTA